TTTAAATGGAAAATTTCGGGATTTATATATAAACCTATCTCATTACGAATAACAAAAACCTGCGTTTTTTTTAACGGACGCGTTTGTGCGTGTGCGTGTACGTTTGTACATGCGTGCGTGCGTGTGTATGCGTGTTAGTGCGTTCGACAATTACGTTCAATTTTTTTTTATTTTTTCATTTCGTTAAAAAAAAAAAGTTCGGATATGTTATGCAAAAAAAAAAAAAAAAAAAAAATCGATCGATCTCTGAACGGGAGCAAACAAAAATATGTTTGTATAAGCGCAAAAAAAAAAAAAACTTTTTAAAAGTTTTAAGAGAAAAGCAAGCATCGGAAGAAAATATTAAAAAAAAAAAAAAAAGAAAACCTTTTGAAAAATGAAAAAAAAAAAAAAAAAAACATTAAGAAAATTTATAAATAAAAATAATTTTTTTTTTTTTTTTTTTTAAAACGCGTCCATTATAAATCGTTTAAAATTTAAAAAAAAAAAAAAAAATTATTTTCTATTACGTAAAAAAATTACGTCATAGAGTAAATAAATAAATTTAAATTTAATTACACTTAATCGTATTCTAAGTTTATTCCACGTTAATTTTTTTTTTTTTTCCCGGAACGATTCTAACAAAAAAAATTTAATAAGGTAATTTAAAAAAAAAAAAAAAAGCGGGAAAATTTTATATTTTCTTAGAATTTTCCGAAAAAAAAATTTTCTTTTTTTTTTTTTGTTTAAACATTTAAAATTCAAAAGAAATATAAAAGATTTTTTTTTTTTTAAATAATAAATTTTGATATTTAATTAAAAAAAGAAATGAAAAGAAAAGAAAAGTGAAGAAAAAAGAAAAAAAGAAAAAGAAATTGAGAAAAGAATGTGAAATCAATGATATAAAAACGTTTTTTCTTACTCTATGTAAAAATTTAATTTATACGTTTTTTTACCCCCTCAACCCCCCCTTTTTTCTTTTTTTTATTTGTTTTTAATTTTCCGGAAAAAAAAAAATTCCATTTCGTGTAAAATAAATAAAAATTTTCTTTTTTTTTTTTTTATATTTTACTACTACTGACACGTTTTCGAACGAAGTAAAAAAAACTTTATGCTTTTATTTTATTGTTTCAATTAAATTTAAATTTAAATTTAAATTTAAATAATAATAATAATAATAAATTAATTATTATTAATTCAATTGATTTCGCGGAAAAAAAGTTTTTCCAAGACAAATCATGGAGAGATTTAATGAGAGATTTTATTTGAAATTCTCAAAACACCCTGTAAATGTCGAACTCTAGAGACACGACAATCATTTAATGTCACTCGATCGGTGTAAAAAAAAAAAAAAAAAAATTTTTTTCTCTCTCTTTCTCTCACTCTCTCTCACTCTCACTCTCTCTCTCTCTCTTTCTCTCTCTTTTTTAAATCGTTTCCATTATTTAATTTAACCGACATTAATTATTCAGGTATTAGGGAAAAATTTTCTAGAAAAAATTATTTTCCGTAATTATCAGTGTTAAAAAAAAAAAAAAAAGTTTTAAATTCATTGAATTTTCTTATTCTTCTTCTTCTTCTTCGAATCGTGAAATATTAAAGTTCTTAGAAATTTATTCTATTCTTTTTATTTTATTTTCTGCTTACACGTTTTTTTTTTTTTTTTCACTTTTCGTGTCTTTAGAAAAATGAGTAATGAAAGGTTTTAAAACGTTTTTTAATCGTTGATTTTAAATTCAAATTTTTTTTTTTTCTTTGGAATTTTTTAATTATTTCAAATAAAAAAAAAATTCAGGGAAAAAATGAGAGAAAAAGATAGAGAGAGAGGGGGGCGAAGATAGCGAGAGAGAGAGAGAGAGAGGGAGAGAGAGAGAGAGAGATAGAGAGGGAGAGAGACAGAGAGAGAGAGAGAGAGAGAGAGTGAGAGAGAGAGAATGTCAAGATGTAAAAATAAAAATACCACGAACGTATGACTGACGCGTTAATTTTTTTTTTTGATACTTTTGAGATAAAAAAAAAAAAATGTCGGACCTTTGAAAAACGCAATGTTGTAAACTTAACGAACGAACGAACACGTGATTTTTTTTGTCGCAAAAAAACAAAAAAAAAAAGGGAAAAAGTTGCGACATTTTTAATATTCATTTTCGACGATTAACTAACATACTACAACGAATTTACCATTTTATGATGGTAACGTTAACATACCAAAACTTTTTTAATAATTTAGCGAGTCGAAACCTGATTTAATTAATTTTCATAGATGTATAATACCCCCGCGCACACACACACACACGTAAAATTTTTCAAATGAAAATTCATAAATATTTATATAGGAAAAGTTTTAAATAATTTTTTTTTCCCTTTTTTTTGAAGCATCGTGACATAGCGGTTGCGTGTTTTTTTGATTTTAATTTTTTTTTTTTTAAAATAAAAAAAAATTATCACTTACCCTTTTATTTTTTCCACTCCCACATTTTTCCTTTTTTCCTTTGTGAAAATTTTGTTTTTTTTTTCCTTCCCCTTTATTATCAACAAGATAAATTTTTTTTTGTTGAAATGTAAACCTTCACGATACCTAAAAAAAAAAAAAATCAATATACCTTAAATGTATTACATTTAAAAGGGGGGAGGGAGGAGGGGGGAGAAAATAAAAATAAAAATAAAATAACCGAAACGAAATATTTTCCCGGATTTTTCACCTCGACTCGGTAAAATTTTAAGAAAATTAATTTATTTACTTAGATTTAACCCCGGAAAAGCAAGATTTCCTTCAATAGGAAATTTATTTTAACGTTTAAATATCGTGCATGAACAATTTTAGTTTATTAAATTTTTAATTTGTTTAGCGGAAGCAAATTTAATAAACTGAACAAACAACAAACAAAATAAAATAAAAAAATTTTTTTTCATCAATCGATAATTTCACTATCTGTTTGTTTCATCGACGACAAACAAAAAAACAAAATACTAAACAACAACAACCAAAAAATCGATTCGATTTCGTTTTCCCGCCATTTATTTATTTTTTTTTTCCTTTCCCTGTCACAAATTGAACGTTTATATAAATTTTTCTTTTCGTTTTCCACCCCTCACCCCAACCCCCCGCCTTTTTTTTTATTATTTGATTTTGTGACGTCGTAATACTTACAAAAAATTCATTTAAGTATTGTTTTATTGATTTATTTGTGTGCGTTTCCCCTCGCCCCCCCCCACACACACGATAATGATTTTTTGCATTTTATTGATTTAAAATCTTGAAAAAAAAAAAAAAAATTTAATCGACATATACAAACAACAAAAGACGAACCGTTGGAATATTCAAAAATTAAAAAAAAAAAAAAATTTTTTTTGGAATTATTTTTTTTTTATAGGAAGAATGGATGGAAGTTGAAGGGACGGTAAACCGAAAAAGAACCGGATGGATGAAGTGGGTGAGTTTTATTAATTGGAAAATAAATCGGAAAAAGGGAAAAATCAAATTTTTATAAAAAAAAAAAAAAAACCAAATCTTTCTACGTAAATGTATCTTTTTTTTTTTTTTTTTTTTGTTAGGTTAATTATTATTATCTGTGAATTGAATTGCAATGAGCATGCGTGCATGATTGTCAATCGCATCGTATAATATTACAACCCCCAACCCCACACCCCCCCTTTTTTATTTCTCTCAATGGGAAAAAAAAATCCATTCATCGATCGATTTGTAAATCGTGCGTAAATTATCGTTTAAAAAAAAAAAAAAATATTTTTTTTTTATTTTTTTGTTCCGCCCCCCAGTTTTTCCCCCTCCCCCCCCCATTTTTGTTTTATGAGAATAATTTAAATTTGAAAAAAAAATATGTTTGACCATTGACAAAATAAAATTATTTACATTTTCCATAAAAACGTTCGAGAAGTTTTTGAATTATGGGAAAAGTGAATAAAAAATTCCCCTCCCCCTTCCCTCTTTTTAGACCATTCCTACAGTCAAAAACGATTTCATAGGCGTTACATTGAATGACAATCGTGATTTTTTTTTTTTTTTTGGAAAACCTCCTCCCGTTTATTCATCCCTGCTTTTCCTACCTTATTTAAACCCGAACCTTTTTTCCATTCTTATTCACGTCATTCCTTTACTAGTAATTAATTACATGTTTTAAAAATCTGATATTTTATCGAAAGTTAAAAAAAAAATTACGTACAAAGATTTTCGTGTAAATATTTAACGGTTATTTGTTGTACATAATATACGTATATGGTAATAAAATAAATGTTTGTACTGTTGTTGTGACTCACTAGAAAGATGCATTAAATATGCTATTATATAAACTTATCATGGTGTAATAAAAATGGATTTTGTGTATAATGTGTGTATAGGAAGCAATTAGGAAACCTTCTCTCACGGAGAGAGAGAGAGAGAGAGGGGAGAGATCGCGATCGTCACTTATAAGAATTACGGGGAAAAAAATAAAATAAAATAATAATAATATTACTACCTGTTGCATTGATATTTTCTTGCATGCCAATAAATATGAGTGTTTTGAATGTTTTCCTAATTTGTGTATTATTATACTCTTATCCTCACACTCCTCGTCATCTTTCATCCTACGATATAAATAAATAAATAAATAAATTGCGATATTTAAATTATATGTAATAACTATATATATATATATATATATAAAAAAATGGATATTTATATTCTTCTTCTTGTAAATTTTTAAATCGAAAAATAAATAATAAATAAATAAATAATAAATAAATAAATAATAATAATAAAAAATTATATGTTTTACTCACAGTTTTTAATAATAATGGCGTGTAATCGATTTGTTTAAAAATTTTTTTTTTAAATGGCGTGTGAATTTAATTGATTTTATTCCGATTTTCAGTTGGATTCGGATCTTGGAGTTGTCGACGATGGTTATAATTGGAAAAGTATTGTCTTTTCACTTCTTGTTATCGGAACGGTGATTGCTGGAATTGTTACTGCCATCTACCTGCTCGGTTACGTCGATGAATTACTTTACTGGAGCGGGAAAAGAATGACGTTGGATGAATATTTGCAGGTGTTTTTTTTTTTTTTTTAATTTTCCAATCCATTAAAAAAAGTTTTTTTTATTATTTTTCAATCAATCATTGATTGTTGAGTCCTGCTGACTTTTCAATTACTTTATTGTTTTAAACGTTTGTTCTTCTGTATTACTTTTCAAATTTTGTTTTTGACATTTTTCTTTTTTCTTCTTTCTTTTTAGGGTGAACTGACACCAACTAGATTAAGCTCTCAATGGACTTCTTCTAAACATTTTGTCTTCCAGCAGGATGATGGTGGCCTTGCTGTTTTGGACACTGCTGAAAATACAATTTCGCTCTTAGTTACAAATCATACTCTTGTAAGTAAAAAAAAACTTAAAAAAATTTACGTTAAATTATTTTATCTTAAATGAAAATTTTATAATAATTTTTCAGAGGCAGTTGGATGTTAAGGGTTTTCTTTGTACCACTGATCTCAGATATATTTTGTTTCGGCACGACGTTAAGACGGTAAGTCGTAATACTTTGAAATTTAACGAAAAACGTACCAGTTTTAAACCCCCCCCCAAAAAAAAAATTTTTTTTTGAACGACTGCGAATTCAATAGGAAGTTAATTAAAAATAAAAAATAAAAATCGTGACGGATCCGACGCGAAAAATTTTCCACAGCGATGAATTTAATATTTTCGACATTATTTATTAGACCTCCCCCCCCCAAAAAAAAAGCAAAAACAATTTAAAACAAAAAATGTGAGTTTTGAATAATGCATGCAGCAGTTTTTTGTTTTTTTTTTTTTTTTTTTTCAAATAATAATAATTTTTTTATCTCTTATTCGTTCGGATTTTCCAGATTTGTAAAAAAAAAAAATTTTTTTTTAATGTAGGTTATTGACCTTTTTTTAATTAAGCGCCATTGTTTTTATTTACGGATTATATAAAACTCGAGTTTTTGCATTTTTTTTGTTTTTATCTTTAAATACATTCCAAGCTAACATAAGTGCCTTTCCCCCCTTTCCCCCTCCCCAAATGGCATAAAAATAAAAGCCTTGGCAATATTTTTAAATAAGCGATTTTTTAATGAGATTTTTTTTAATAAAAAAAAAAAAAAAAAATCTCAAAGAAAAATAATAATTTTGACAAAATAAATATATATAAATATATATATATATATATATATATATATAAGAAAAAAAAAGTTTTTATTATTATTATTATTTATATAATAAACGTATTTAGATAAAAACGTGAGATGTTTTCCAATGGAAAAGTTTCAAATGATTATGTCTACCCCTCTCCTCCCCTTTCCCTGTCTCTCTCTTTCTCTCTATCTTTCTCCCTCTACATCTGTACTCACTCTCTCTCTCTCTCTTTCTCCCTCTACATCTTTACTCTCTCTCTCTCTCTCTGCCTCTCTTTCTCCCTCTACATCTTTACTCTCTCTGCCTCTCTTTCTCCCTCTACATCTTTACTCTCTCTCTCTTTCTCCCTCTACATCTTCACTCACTCTCTCTTTATCTTTCGAATAAATATGTTGGGGGGGAAAAAAAAAGTTAAATACAATACAATGTATACTTTAGCAAAAGAGTTAAACTTTTACACACAATTCATGTTTTACACAATACATTAATCTCAAAACCGAAAAGTTTCAAATGGTATGTGGTCAGTTGTAGAGAGAGAGAGAGAGAGAGAGAGAGATAGAAAATACAAAATTCACATAAATGAAAATCGTGCTCACATTATTTTTTCCCTCTTTGGAAGAAAAATTTTTCGGGAGGGATAAATAGGAAGAAAACACACACGAAAGTTTCCCTTAACAAAAAACAAATTGATATGAATTTAATGTTAAATTAAAATTAATTTTAAAATCTTGCGAAAAAAACCATACAAATGACAAATGATAATATCGTTAACAATAATTAACGTTTTTTCCGCCATCTTACCTAACAATAATACAAACCCCATTTACGGAAACATATTTCAATGGAAAATTTGAAAACTTTAATATTTTCGATATATCTATTTTCACATACGATTTTAAACAAACCGTGATTGGTTTTTTTTCCAATACGATAATTTAAAAAATAAAAATTCTCTTTGGATTTTCGTAACCACGAATTGAAATTTTAAAAAATAAAAAAAAAATGTAAAAATTCACATATAAAAAGTAAACATGCAAAAAAAAAAAAAAAAATTTTTTTTTATCACGCCCTTTCTTCCTCTTATAAACTCGAATATATATATATACGAAAAAAGGTTTTCAATCATTTCCCTCATAAAAATTCATTCCGCAATTTCCCCATTCAAAAAAAAAAAAAAATAATAATAATAATAATAATAATAATATTTTTATCCGTACGTGTTATCGAATTCAATAGATTGTTTGTTTGTTTGTCGTGGACCAACCTGTGACCGAACAACCGAACAACAACAACAACAAATTTTAACATTTAAATTTTAAATCTGATTTTCTCTTTCCCACACGTGTATACTCTCCCCGTATGTTTTTTATGTTGGCAAACTTTGAAAAAAAAAAAAAAAAAAAAATTTCCTAACTAAAAAAATTCGTTTCGTTAAATTTAAATTTTTTTTTTTTTGAATTAAATCATAAATTTATATTTTATGATAACTAACAAACAAACAAACAAACAAACAAACGGAAAAGAAAAACCTCTCATACGCTCATAAATTTTTGTTTTTTTTTTTTTTGGTTTTTCCGAGAAGTTATTTCAAAAATTAAACACAAAATTTATTTATTTATTTATTTTTTCATTCCATCCATCGGGTTATTAAATAAATAAATAAAAATAATTTAAATAATAATAATAATTTTATGCTTTACGCGTGGGGGAAAGGGGAGGGTAGGGGGGGAGGGGAAAATAAAATTCGTAAAAAACTTACCGATTGTTTTCGCTTTTTTTTTTTTTTCTTCCCCCTCCTCCTTATTCGTTTCCATTGATTTATTTCATTTTCCATTTAATTATTTCCTTTGTTTCCACCGTAGAGATTAAATCTACAAAAGCAGAAGAAAAAGAAAAAAAAAATTAAATTTTTTTTTAAGCTTTAAACAAATAATTATTATTATTAATTAAAATTTTTTTTTTTTCTTTTTTTTTTTTTTTGTGTATAAAGAAAACGTCGCAAGGGTTAATTTATTAAATGAAAAGAAAATTGAAAACAAACACAAAGAATTAAAAAATTTTCTTTTTTTTTTTTTCTTGTGTATATACGAGAGAAAAACAATTGGAAAATTAGTTTGTCGGAAGTCAATTTGTTTTTCTTTTTCATATTTTCTTTTTACTTCGTAATAATAAATTCCGTTTAAAAAAAAAAAAAAAAAAAGAAAATGACTTTTTTTTTTTTAAACAAAAGAAAAATTATTTTTTTTCGTTATTATTCGAGACAAAAAAAAGGGTCATGAAAGAAAAAAAAAATTATTATTATTATTATCATACCTTTACATTCGAGAAATGAAGAGAATTGATTGAGAAACGACGACTTAGAATTTTTTTTTTCTAATACGCTTGTAATTTTCCAAGTCGGAATCGAATCTCTTCGAAAACGAGTTCGAATTTCATTCGACAATATTAAACGTGGGTAAAATAAAAAAAAAATAAAAAAAGTTTATCACGTGCGAACAAAAAAAAAAAAAAAAAAATCGTGTCAGGAGAATAAAATACCTTGTAATCGGTGACAGAAATTAAATAAAAATTATATTTTCCGAAGAAAAAAAGAAAAAAAAAGGTTGAAAATTTATTTTTGTCTGAACAACCAATTTTTTTTTTTCTCGCTTTCGAATAAAATAAAAAATAAAATCGATTTTTTATATTAACATTTAAAAAAAATCAACGGATTTGACGTGGAATTAGTCAAAATGTCCCCGAAATGTTTTTTTTTTTTTTTCAGGTATTCAGAAATTCTTTTTTATCTCATTACACAATTTATGACGTCACAAACGAGTGAGTTTTAATTTTTTTTTTTTTTACAAAATTTTAATTTAAAAAGGGAAAAAAAAATTTAAATTTTTACTTACCGCTTTTTACAGTCATCTCATTCCAATAACGATTCGTGATTCCGAAAATAAAATTACAGCCACCAGACTTCAACATGCCATCTGGTTGGGTAATACAACTGCCTTGGCTATTATTAATAATAATAATATTTATATAAGAGATTCTCCGGTTGGAAAAGATCATCAAATAACAATTACTGGACTTCCTGGAGTCGTGTACAACGGTGTTTCCGATTGGTTGTATCAGGGTGAGTTCTGCAATTAAAAAAAAAAAAAAACGTTAAAATGAATTGAAAACATTTCGTTAAATTATTTTCATCGTTTCGGATATTATTATTATTATTAGTTATGAAATGACAAAAAAATGTTTCATTTTTTAATTTCAGAGGATATTTTTGCCTCGTCTGAAGCGTTGTGGCCTTCACCGGACGGAAGTCACATAATATTTGCCACATTTAACGACAGCAAAGTTCGAACTCTTAGTTTTCCATGGTTCGGTGTAAGTTCGCTCAGTAGTTCTAGCAATACATTCGGTAGTTTTCCAGATTTCAAAACCGTTAGATATCCAACGGTAAGTGTACAAAAGTAGATTCGTTGATTTTTCTTCTTGTTTGAAAATTACAAAAAAAAAAGTATGAGCTCTTGTAATAATAATTATTAAACGTTAATTTTAATTATTTTCTCTTCAGCCTGAAAGTCCAAATCCAAAAGTACGGCTGTGGGTAGTCGATGTGAGAAATAAAAATAAATCCGTGCGTTGGGAAGTAAGCCCTCCAAAATCACTTGAGAATCAGTAAGTTTGTTATTTTATTATAACGGCTAATATTTGTTTATTTAACAACACTATTATTATTATTATTATTATTTGCTTGAATAAATGGTGTGTTATAATTAAATTTCTTAATTATCACGTACATAAATATTAAAATTTGATAATATTTAAACAGTTAAACCCTGAAATTACAAGTTGGGGAGCCTTATTAAAATAATCACGCAAAACTAAGAATTAATAATAATAATAAAAAAAACATGCAAAATTTATGTCTAATTAAAAATTAACGAGATTTTTTTTTTTTTTTTTGAATTATTTTTTGAATATTATTAAATGTAGTTTAAGCTAGCACCAGCAGCAGCAGCAACAGCACGCAAAACTAAAAACTTTGTTTTTATTTAAAAATTTAATATTAATTGATTATAGAGACTTTTACTTGACCTCAGCGGGTTGGGTAGGCGACAGCAATCAACAAGTTGGTGCGGTTTGGATGAACCGTGCTCAAAATCTCAGCATCGTTAGTGCCTGCGTCTCTCCTAATTGGACGTGTATAGAGGTCAGTCATTAATTGTCCCATTGAATATGTATTTACTCCAAATTAGTCCCTAAAATAATTAATTTTTTTTTAGACTCACGTGGAGAGAGCTCCAGAAGATACGTGGCTAGACGTGCAGCCACAACCTTTTTTCTCACCTGACGGGGATAGTTTTTTGTTGTTGGCTGCCGTTCAAGAAGGAGCCAATGATCATTATACTCATATTAAGCACGTCACGCTCAAACAACAGAGAATGGCAGTCCTCAGTCACGGACGCTATGAAGTTGTTAAAATTTTAGAATGGGACACTTCTAATCATTTAGTGTATTTGTTTTTTCACTTATTTAATTTCAAGTTAACTTTAAACCGAATATATAAATTTAAAAAAAAAATATATGTGTATTTTTTAGTTATTATTTAGGAACTCACGACACAAAACCGGGTCAAAGGCATTTGTATGTTGTTAAAGATCCAGGAGCAGATGATCCAAAAAGATTAGAGCCACAATGTATTACTTGTGATTTAAGTGAAGTGCTCTATGCCAGTAGAAATCAGTATGGTAATTGCACGCATTTTAATGCTGCCGTTAGTCCTCCGAAAGGTATGGAAGGAGCATTAGGCCATTATGTATTAGAATGCGAAGGTCCCGGATTACCTCTTGCTGCCATACATGCTTCTGATACTCATCGATTAATAAGGTAATCCCCGTATAAATTTATTAATGTTTTTATAACATTAATAAATTTTTTGTTTTTTTTCCTTCTAATTCTAGAGTCATTTTTAATACAAGACTCACTCGCTTACAACTTTTACAAAAGCTAGCGTTGCCGACGTCTAAAAGTTTTTCGGTGCCTCTACCACAGGGTTCAAAAGCTCAAGTGCAACTGTATCTTCCACCGAGTTGGAGAGAAGAATTGCGAGACGCCGCCTACCCAGTGTTGGTGGAGGTGTAAGTTTAACTAAGAAAAAAAAAAAAAAAAATTAATTTCTTATTTTTTTTTGCATTTAAAGTTACCGTTAAGTAAATCCTCTTATTATTAAAGGCTTATTATGTTATTACTATATTATTGCTACCTAAATGTTTTATATGTACTGAAAGAAAAACTAATGTTATTTTAAGTAATGGCCGTCCAGGAAGTCAATCAGTAACTCAAAAGTTCTCAATAGATTGGGGAACTTACATGTCTAGTCATAACGATGTAGTTTACATAAAACTTGACGTACGAGGTGCCAAAGGATTAGGAAAAAGGCCTCTTTATAGGCATTTAGGTGGAGTTGAAGTACAAGATCAGATTGTGACAGTGAGGTAAAATTTCCTATTTTTTTTTTTTTAATAGTTTTTACAAAGAAAGAAAAGAGACAGAATTTAGGATAAATTTTTTTATATTTTCAGAAATCTACTTGATACTTTTGGCTTTTTAGACAGAAGTAGAATTGCAGTTTGGGGTTGGGGTTACGGAGGTTATGTAACTACAATGCTATTAGGATCTCAACAAAATATTTTTAAATGCGGTATAGCCGTATCACCAATTACAGATTGGCTGTATTACAGTGAGTTTAAAATAACCGTTATAAAAAATAATTGAATAAAAATTTCACATTGAAATTTTTTTCCTCGCGTAAATTTTTACAGATAGTGCTTTCACGGAAAGAATATTGGGTCTTCCTGGTGACAATTATAAAGGTTACGTAGAAGCAGACGCTACTCAAAGAGCGAGAAACATACCTAGTCATTCACTTTATCTCATTCATGGTCTTGCCGACGTAACAGCACCCTATCAGCATGGCGTGGCTTTGGCAAAGGCTTTAGCCGATGCTGGAGTTTTGTTTAAATATCAGGTGAGTGAACATCGTCATCGAAAATCCCATATCACTCTGTAAACAACAAAAAAACCTTGTTTACCATTAAGTTTACTAATTAATAATCAATATCTTACAGAGTTACGCGGACGAAGGTCATTTTCTTGTTGGTGTTCTATCACATGTGTACAGATCCATGGAAAATCATTTAAAAGAGTGCCTTAGCTTGGATGAAGACGAGAATAATTCATAGCCTGCCATTTACATTATGTCGTAATTAATTCAACAAAACAATTTTTTTTTCTTTAATTTTTTTTTTTTTTAAACATTTAAAAAATATTTTAACGAAATTATACCTAGACCTTAAAAAACCTTAAAATCGTGACTAGATTAATATAAAAAAAAAAAATAGCTTCGTTAATCAAATCAAATTAAAAATAAATAAATATAAAATTCGATTTTTTTTTTTTTTTCTTTCAAGTTAAATCGAAATTTAGAGCATTAATAATAATAATAATAATAATAAACGTTTAGAAAAACATTACCATTAAATTTAAAAAAAAAAAATTTATTATTATTATTATTATAGAAATAGAAAATAAATAAATAAATGATAGAAAAAATTAATTATTTACGTTTTTAACGTTTATGCAATAATTAATAAATTTAAAAAAAAATTATCATTATTATTATTATTATTTATTTAATTAAAAATAATTATTTGTGATGATTTTTTTTTTTTTTTTAGAAATATGAGCACTTATTGATTTCGAATTTTAAAATGATTACAATATATATTTGTGTCAATTTGAAAAATTTTTTTAAAAACCGTAGGACATTAATTTATTAATTTTATTTTTAAAAACGAAACGAAACGAAAAAAAAATGGCGCATTAAAATCTACCTCATTATTAAATTGCATAATAATAAATAAATTAAAGCGAAAAAATAATCAATTAATTATTTATTTATTTATTTGTGTTCGACGTATGTTAACATCCCCGAAATAAGTTATTTATTTATTTATTTTTAAACGTATTATTTAAATTTATAAAAATTATTTATTTATATATATTTATGTATATATAAATACGGCTTTAATGTACCTGAAAAGCATGTAGGCAGGTGTGATAATAATTTTTT